CTAAAATAAAAATTATTTTTTGAAATCAAAAATAAACCTTTATGCATAAAGTGAGGAACAAATGTTTAGTGAAACTTTTTCAACCATATTTTACATATTTTAGCCCACCAGGTATTTAACTTTCGTAATGGAATCCAACGATAACTTAGGCTATTCCCTAGAATTTTGTATAATTTTTTGTTAAAATCTTTTATATTGTGCATTTTCAATAACTTGTCAAATGTAATACAAAATTGGTAATTCATTTAACCCTTTAATTGTTGGTCCCATTGTATCATGGATTTGAAGCCAGTGTTGGTCCCGTAGTATGACGCCTTGAGCTCAGCTCACTCAGGTAAGCTGTGAGTGGTAAATTTGGGCCTAGATATGAGAGATGGGTCTTATGCAGTAAGTGATATAGCACACAGTGCATAATGAGGGAAAATGTGACTATGTTTAAAACATCAACTTTGCAGTGTATTTTCATATCGTTTTTATGGTTGTATTCTTGGTGTCTTGATCTCATTTGATAGAATGGAAGATATTTTACAGAAATAGAGATGATTTTCATTAGTTTCAGGACTGAAAGTAGTTGGAAATTTAGCTCAGAGTAGTGGAAATGTTTGATTTTTCCCTATATTCCAGAGTACACTTGTCCAATACACATCCAGCTGGCCACTCTAATACAGTAGGGCCCCGCTTTACGGCGTTTCACTTTACGGTGTTCCGCTAATACGGTCATTTCAAATTATGACCAAAACTCGCTATACGGCTCCCCCCACCTGACTTTCTAATATGGTCACCGCGCCCCACCCGGTTTGTTTACATTCTCTGGGAGATCCGTAAGCACTAAGTCTCTCCATTATGTCTGGAAACTCCAAAATTTTAAGTGTTTTTAAAAGTTATTTCATATTTTATATATACAATGGGCCCCTGCATAACGATCACCTCCGAAAGCGACCAATTATGTAAGTGTATTTATGTAAGTGCGTGTGTACGTGTATGTTTGGGGGTCTGAAATGGACTAATCTACTTCACAATATCCCTTATGGGAACAAATTCGGTTCAGTACTGGCACCTGAAACATACTTGTGGAGAGAAAAAAATATCGTTAACCGGGGGTCCACTGTACTCTGATAATTATACTTATGTATACCTGTACTTAAATAAACTTACATACTGTGCTGGCATGCAGGTACACATTAAAATCAGTAAGAGTGTCTTGTCTCCAGACGTCATATTAGTAATGATAATAATAATCATCGAGTCTCATTAACCCTTTGAGGGTTTTGGTCGTACTAGTACGTCTTACGCGTAGGGGTTTTTGTCGTACTAGTACGCATAAATTCTAGCGGCCTCAAATCTCACAGGAAAAGGCTGATAAGCCTAGATGTGAGAGAATGGGTCTGTGTGGTGGGTGTGCGCAGTAGGAAAAAAATCTGGGACCCAGTGGTGCATTGTGAGGAATGCCATATAGTACACAATTTCCACCGTGCCCTGTGGTAAGAAGTTCCTCACTCCTCGGCGAATTGGGACACTTTTGTTCCCCAGTGACAGTTCTAATACAGATGGAAGTGACAGTGAAGATGAGTTTCAAGGTTCTGGTGAGGTTTTGACTGAAACTAATGACCATAATATAGGTAATAGTGAGGAAAACCCAGACAACCCACAGCCTTCCACCTCTGGTGCTGGGCCATCTTGTTCACGTTCAGTTGTACCAGAATCAAAGAGGGGAAAATCCTATTTTCCAAAATCCCAGACTCGGATGTGAGCATTGGTGATGATAGTGATAATGATTATGAACTACAAGCTCTTCAAACTTGTTCCAAGAATGGAGGAGGAGGAGGAGGCAGAGGAGAAGGAGGCAGAGGAGGAGGAGGCAAGACAAGGAGGAGGCAAGAGGAGGAGGAGGCAGAGGAGGAGGAGGAGGAGGAAGAAGAGGAGGAGGAGAAGGAGGAGGAGGAAGAAGAGGAGGAGGAGGAGGAAGAAGAGGAGGAGGAGGAGGAGGAGGAAGAAGAGAGGAGGAGGAGGAGGAGGAAGAAGAAGAGGAGGAGGAGGAGGAGGAGGAGGAAGAAGAAGAATACGTAATGTTTAACAATAATAATAAAAATAAAAATACATAATAATAATAGGTAATAAAAAGGTTCACCCATGACAGAAAACAAGTAAGGGGGGGAAAAACATTGAAAAGGGGCTGACTTTGATGAGGGAAAAATGAGGGTTAGAGCTGATGCCAAAAGTTGAGAAAAACATTTTTCCCCCCCCTTTTTTTTTGCTGGTATACAAACATTTTGTTTGTCTTTTTGGGTTGTCTGTCAAGCTCCCTGTCTATCTGTCTACCCCGTCTAGCTCTCTGTCTCAGGGCCAAAAAGACTTTTGTCATCACTTTTACTCACATTTTTCAAGCGGGGGTATAGCATTTTGCCCGGGGTTTTTGGGTTATCCAAGGTAATTTATACTATGTTTTATTTGGGTTTTTATGTGTACCTGTGAGACAGAGTTAGACGGGACAGATAGCAAAGAGGGGGACAGTTTGGAAAAGATAAAAAAGAGGGAGAAAGATAAAAACCTTTGTTGTATGACCCCAGTTTCAGATTCCACAAAGCTGCGAACTAAAGGAATAGGTTCAGGGGATTTTATATTGGTATTATATTTTAAAACAATAATAATAAAACAATGTTTTGTATTTTTTTGTTTTTTTTAAAAAAGTTTTGTAAACAAATAATGAAAATTTATGTTTGTGTGTTTTTTGTTTTGGTATAAAACCGGTGAATATATGTACTTTTGCCCCTTTACTTTGGTCTCAAAAGGGCCACTAAGTTTGTAAAAAAATAAAATAGTAAAAAAAAAACAACAAAACCCTTCAAATACAAGTAAACTAATTTTTCCCGGTTTTGGAGCGGAAAGTCACCGTTTGTTGCCATACGCGGTCATTTTCTGAAAAACTTCAGGGCACCCCATATCTGAAAGGGTATTGATGGTAAATTTTTTTTTTGTTTATTTATAATTTTTTTAGAAAAAAAAAAACTATTTTTTCTTTAAGGGAAAAAAATAATTTTTTTTTTTTTTTTGAAATTTGGCCGCCCCTTTGAGAACGAGTTTTGGAGGGGGGCCGGGCGACCCCCCAAAAGGGTTAAATGTCTTTATATTATGTTGATATACATATTTTCTTTTTTCCATCTATGATTTTTTTTCAAAATTATTTAATTTAAACCAAATGATAACTTTAAAGATGATAAATACCCCCCAAATTTAGAAAAAAAATAAACATAAATATGAGATGTGGAAAGCCGACGACTTGCACAAGTGACGCCATATTAGAAATAAAATAATAATCACCCAATCTCATTAAATTCGTATATTACGTTAATATACACATTTTCATTAAACCCTCCATGTATTTTTTTCCCAAAAAAATATAAAAACATGGGTCATAACATATAAAAGATGGGTTTAAAAACACCCCCCCAATAGAATAAAAAACATAAATTGAGATTTTTGGGAGCAAAATAAAATTGTTTCAAGTGATGCCCAAAAATAAATTTTTCTCATCTAAAAAAAGAGAAAATGTGTTACTGGGGGTAAAAGGGGAAAATTTTTTTTTTTTGTATGTAAGAGTTTATTCAGGTATACAACCCCAAAAACGTTACACAGGGTTATCTACCCTAACCCGCATTGTGTAGAAAACCCAGGTTTAAACCCGAAAAGTCCCAAAATGATTATTTCCATTGCCTTCATCAGAGCGTTTTTTTTTCTTCTCAAAATGATGTTACATGGGGAATGGGAGTTTTTTTCTTTATTTATTTTTACCGTATCAATGTAGAGCCCAACCTGTTTCACAATGTAACTTTTACAAAACCAGACGTTTTACACTTTTTTTTGTTTTTTCAAAAAATTACCTTTGCTGGTTTTTTTTTCCCTAACTCTGCTCAGTACGTGGACCCTGCCCTAAAAGATATTAAAACCATTCCTGAGAGCTTTTTTAGCAAAATTTTTATTAGCCCAAAAAGAAATTTTTCCCCCTAAGAAA